AAACAACGGGATTGGGAACGGATGGGATCCCAAAATCCATAAATCCAGGATTTACCACTTGGTTATTGTGGAAAAACTAAAATATATGGGATTGGGAACAGCTGGGATCCCCAAAATCCCTAAATCTGGGATGTACTGCTTGGTTATTGTGGAAATCCTAAAAAATATGGGATTGGGAATGGATGGGATCCCCAAATCCCTAAATCCGGGATGGAACGCTTGGCCATCCAGGAAATCCTAAAAAAAATGGGATTGGGAATGGATGGGATCCCCAAATCCCAAAATCTGGGATGTACCACTTGGTTATCGTGGAAAAACTAAAAAACAAAGGGATTGGGAATGGCTGGGATCCCCAAAATCCCTAAATCTGGGATGGAACGCTTGGTTATTGTGGAAAAACTAAAAAATATGGGATTGGGAACGGATGGGATCCCCAAAATCCCTAAATCCGGGATGTAACGCTTGGCTATCGTGGAAAAACTAAAAAATGGGATTGGGACACCCAGAAAGTCCCAAAATTTGGGATTTTCCACTTGGTTCTCTGGGAAGAGCAAAAAAAGGGGATAAGGAAAGCCTGAAATTCCTGAAATTCCCAATTTTCCCCTTGGGTCTGCGGGATTTTTAGGGAATTTTTCAGGGGATTTTTCACAGGATTTTCGCAGGATTTTCACAGGATTTTCAGGGGATTTTCATGGGATTTTCCCGGGATTTTCACGGGATTTTCCCGGGATTTTCACAGGATTTTCATGGGATTTTCACAGGATTTTTCCTGGGATTTTTCAGGGTATTTTCATGGGATTTTCACGGGATTTTCACAGGATTTTTCATGGGATTTTTCAGGGTATTTTCATGGGATTTTCACGGGATTTTTCACAGGATTTTCACGGGATTTTCACGGGATTTTCGTGGGATTTTCACAGGATTTTCACGGGATTTTCAGGGAATTTTTGCAGGATTTTCATGGGATTTTCACGGGATTTTTCACAGGATTTTCACGGGATTTTCAGGGGATTTTCAGGAGATTTTCACGGGATTTTTTGCGGGATTTTCAGGAGATTTTCGCGGCATTTTTTGCGGGATTTTCAGGAGATTTTCACGGGAT